GGTCCATAATTTCTGGAACAACCTCACATATCATTTTTTTCTCTTTTTCAAAAAGGGCAATTTCATAAATGCATACTAAACTAGAATGTGTTTTCTATATCCACATAAGATGTTTCACATGAAGTAAACCCCATTGGGATTAAGGTCATTTACTCAGGAGCAGATCTTTTTGGTAAAATTAAAGTTGGCCTTTTATCTTTAAAATTTATAGAATTTTGGAGGGTTTTGTGGGTTTTGTTGTTTTTGTTTTTTGAGACGGGCTTTCTCTGTGTATCCCTGGCCGTTCCTGAAACTTGCTCTGTCAACCATGGTGGTCTCAAACTCACAGTGCCTCTTCCTCTTAAGTGCTGGGATTAAAGGCATGTGCCACTATCACCCAGCCAGAAATTTGGGGGTTTTGACTGATAATAGACTATACATTCCGTCATCATTCCTCTATCCAATCACAAATGAATTTTGTCACAAAAAGGACATTTAAAGTGGAGTAAGTCAGGACATACTGAAGCATTTCCATGGCCCCCTTCTGCCTGGAGCTAAACTCTTCACTCAAGATTCAGAAGTTGACCATCAAATGTTAAAATTAGGATATTGTATTAGTTACTTTTGTTACTGTGACAAAATGCTATGACTAAGGCAACTTAAAGAGATTATTTGAGTTTATGGTTCCAGAAGGAACGTCCAAAATGGTGGGAAAGTATGGAATGGGGGCAAGGCCAGGAAGCAGAAAGATCATATTTCTATCCACTCACAGGAAGAGCAAACCACAAGAGAGGCAAGTGGGACAAAGCTATAAACTCTCAAAGCTGACCTCCATGAAGTCCTTCCTTCAGCAAGGCTCCACCTTCTAAAGCTTCTAGAACTTTCCCTAAACAGTCCCCCCCCAATTGACAACCAAGTATTCAAATATCTGAACCTATACGGGACAGCTATCATTCAAACTACCACAGACATCTTTACCACAAATATTCACTATGTGGATGGCCCTTTGGGAACTCTATTCTCAAATATCCTTGGCCTTTTCATCTCTGATGATGATCCCCACCACTGAAGTAGCCTAGTGTAGATTTGAGTTGTGTTACATCTGAGATCTGACACGTGCTCATTCTGTGAACCTGGACAAGTCACTTGACTACACCTTCAATTCTCCTAATGTGAACTTTAGTGTAAAATGTCTCCAATAATGCCTGGCATACAGTAGTAATATAATGGGGAAATTCAAATCCCTGCAGAGGTTCCATGTAAACAGCTTTTGTTTCTCTCTGACAAATGCTCAGGAGAGTAAAATATGGTTCCACAGAAGTCCATGCTTGGTTTGTTTTGTTTTAATTAAGAAACTTCACATCTATTTTTCAGAGAGGCTGTCTTATATTTTATTCCCATTTGAAAAGCATGACACATTTGAGCTTCTCTGTACCCACATCAGCATTTTGGATTGTCACTATTTTTATTTTAGCTGGTCTGGTAAATATGTAGAGCTATCTCATTGGGGCCTCAATTTGTATTTCCCTACTGGTTTGTTATCCTGAAAACTTTTAATTTCTTACTTTTCATCTGTACATACAGTTCATGACTTTACCAAGTTTAATAATTACAATGTGTGATTCTTTGCGGTTGGCTTTGAGAATCCTTTATATATTCTAGATATGAATCCTTTGCCCACTTGGCAACAACTTTGATAAAAATCCAATCTATTGTTTGTTTGTTTGTCTTTTCTGGGTTGGATTTGGGTGTCATGCTGAAAAACTCTCCAAAAAGTCCAAGGGCCTGCAGACTTTCTCCTATTCAGTTTTTCAAAAGTTTACCTACAACCGAATACTCCATTTTTTTGCGGTTGATTTTGTTTCTTTTTTACACAATCCATTTTGAGTTAACTTTTGCACATGCTATACAATTTAAGTTGAGATTCACTTTCATTACCAATGTATGTGCAATATCCCACAGCAACATATAGGAGTTAATGCAGTGACCCACAAGTGGACAATGTGCAGAGAGTGAGAGACTTTGGACTAAATCCCAGCAAAAAGCTATTGCAATTGATATCTGCTGGGGAAGGGAAAATCAGTTTTATTCAATAGAGTGTCACTGTTATACCAAAAACATTCCAGGGAAGCCCCCATGCCTAAAGTTGGCAAAGTACATTTTTTGTGGCTTTTTATTTTTCTTTGTTTTCCTTTGCCATTTTCTGTCTTACTGGTTTCTTGTTTGATTTGAATTGATTTTTGGTTTTTGTGTTATTGTTGTTTTTGTTTTGATAGAGAGAAAGGACAGAAAGAAAGAACATTAAGTTGAGTCAGTTGGGAATTGGGGAGGATCTGAGAAGAATTAGAGGAAGGGAAATCATGAACAAGATATATTATATGACTAAATAAATAAATGAATAAATAAAATTTAAATAATATATATGCGATCCCGTGTTATAATTTCATACAGACACAGTGCATAAGAATTAAATAGTATTTCCATTTCCATATATATTTATTGTTTCTTTGTGATGAGACTCACAAATTCTTCTCTTTCAGCATAGTTTACGCATGATAGTCACCCTATTGTGCTATGGAAGACTGGAATTAACTTCTCCCTAACTGAATATTGGCATTCGTTATCTTTGCCACTTCCTAGAGAAATAATAACCTTGGACCTGTGGCTATCACCAAGGTTATAATCCTCTTTGAATTTCTGATGACAAAACTCAGAAAAGTTATAAAAGGTTTTTGAGGTAACACAGACAATATGGCAGAGAACACTGTTTCCTCATATGCATTCTCCTATTCCTTTTTAAGTCTCAAATGGGAATGTTCTGGACTAAAGACTTCACTTACCTTCCTGAGACAGCACTTGGGAGGCTGAGCAGACTGACTACAAATTCAAGGCCAGCTTGGGCTCTGTAGCAAGATTGTGGCTTAAAAAACAAGGAAAAAAGAAGCAAGGACTAGTTTCCTATAACTCTTCTCAGTGAATATGATTGTAAGATTAAATTTTAGAAAATGGAATGTAATGGAAACTATGTCTAACTCCCAGATCAGAACATTAAAGCAAAGTGTTATAAACTGTACTTCTTTCTTTCATTCTTTTCAACTGCTAGAATGTAGATGATGAATGACCATTGGAGCAAAAGCAGTATATTAGGCTCGGAGCACCAAGAAAGAACAAAGAATCCTGATTATATCAAGTCATCTTGGTTGGGTTATTTTACAACCGATAAATAAACATCTCTTATATTAGAGCCATGGTATGTTTATGTGCAGCATCTCAGCACCTGAGCATCTTACCTAATGTAGTTAACAAGTGATCAAGCTTGGACTTGAGCTATGGATAGACTCAGACTCTATCAGCCTCCACAATTCAAATAAAGTTCCTTTAAAATAATGCTTCTCATGGAAGACACTGTCTGTTAAAAAGCTATTACAAATATAAGATATTTGTGGCAAGTGAACAATACATGTTAAGAAGTATTTCTTGTCTCAACCACATTACCATGTTCATTTTTGTCTCCCTTTATTTTATCCCCTTTCATTTGGCCAAATTATAATGTATGCTGCCTTATAAGTTATACATGACATCAAATACATCAAATACACTACCTTGAAACATTTTAGAAAGCAATGTAATTTAAAATAAATATATTGATTTATTTATGGTCTTGAAAGGGGGTTCAAGACTTGCTATCCTGAAATATGGGACTTGACATTTTAGGAAAGAACAAACTTAAGGGTTCTCAGACCTTCTGTTACCCATTTTCGCTGAAGCAGGTCATAAAAGAATTTTCTGACTTTCTTCTAAAGTATGTTATGTAAGTTAAATCAAGAGGAATCCAAAGAAAACAGTGGTAATTTCAAAGGTACAGAAACACCAAAAGAAAAAAAAAACTGGAACAAATAGGCCTGCCTCCAGTGTATTAGCACTCCATCAGACCCTACTGTCCTGTAGTCATATTTCTCTACAACTATAAACTTCATCAGAGTACAAGTTTACCTGTTGTTTGGGGGTGTTATTCTAGAGTATTACCAAGTCATATGTCATATAAAACTTACATAGATATTTATTTTTCTCTTATTAATCTGTCACTTGATTAGGGGTTGTCAATCATGGACTTGGTATTATGTGAAGAACTATAACTTTTCTATCCTATAATTTCATTGTATATGTATCACCTTCTTCCTTATCATTTTCCTCTGCTTAAATATATCACCACACTCCATGGCTAATGTCATAGAAACAGTCAGTAGCTTTTCTTCTTTAATATTCCCAGCATTTGCCTGATAATAAAAACAGTACATGTTCAAGCAACAGTTGCTTAACAGATGAAATGCCAAGTGTTAGATTTAATGTTAAACATCATTGTGGCCAAGTTTAGTGGTGCAGACCAGTAATCTCAGATACTTGGGAGGCTTAGGCAGGAGAACTGTAACTTCAAGATCTGTCTGGGTTACAGAGTGAGTTTAAGGCTGACAGGGACACCCTAGTAAGACTCTGACTGAAAAAAAAGAAAAAGAGGACTTGAAGATAGATAAATGATAGAATATTTCCTTATCGTGTACAAGGCCCTATTTTTAATCTATAGATCTTCAAAAAATATGTCATTGTGGCACAGTGGGATTTCTTTTCAGTGTCAAATTGAACCAAATAATAAGACACACAACTTTGTGTCTGTGATCCCAACAGCCTGGAAGATAAGTCAGGAGGACACCAAGTTCTAGGTTGATCTATATTACATAGTAAGTGCCAGGATAGCCAAGCCTTTTATAGCATGTTTTGCTTTAAAAAATCTAAACAAAAGGAAGAAGAAGAAGAAGGAGGAGGAGGAGGAGGAGGAGGAGGAGGAGGAGGAGAAGAAAGAGAGAGAGAGAGAGAGAGAGAGAGAGAGAGAGAGAGAGAGAGAGAGAGAGAGAGAGAGAGAGAAGGAGGGATGGAGGCAGGCAGATAGACAAACACAGTTAAAAGGTAGACAAGACAGATGTCACTTCTTTGGAGGGGAGATATTAAAGATAGGAAATGATTACCTTGCCAAAGTGTTCAATCAGGATTTCTACCACAATGTTCTGGAATTTGATGTTCATCATAGCAGCCACAGTGTCCTCTTGAGCTCTCATCAGGGTAGGCCCAAAGATCACCCCCATATTGGAAGGTGTCATAAGATTCTCTTTGCTGTGCTCACACACACTGCCAGAAGAAAAAGAAAATGATGAAAAAGATTCATTTTTCTAGTAACTAGGACTATGCTAGGTGCTAAAGGAGGTAAGAGACACCAAAAAATAGAAAAAGAAGAGGCCTAAACCATACATGAAAGAAAAAAAAACACAATGGAAAGACTAGTGCGGTGGGTAAGCCATTCCACACAAGATAGTACATGAGTAGGAGCCAAAGTGGGAGAGAAGGACCAGAGTTAGCAACCCTAAAGAAGGAGTTAGCAACCCAGAAGGAGTTAGGAGACAGATGTGGAGGTAGTAAAGGGTGTCTGGAGGCAGGAGAAAGGCCTGAGTGTGTGCAAGGCAAGGGGGACAGCAGGTCTAATGAACAGCAAAGTAGATTAGGAGTACAACCCAGAGGTGGAGGGCTTTCCTAGCACTCCATTTTTTTCTTAAAAAAACAACAGTTGAAAGTGTGCCTACTAGTCATTCTAGTGAGGAATGTGGCCACTCTAGTCCCACAGTTCAAAAAACAGAAACCTGAAAGGGCCAAAAGGATACTAGTGTTGACTGTCCCTTGACCATCTTCATCTTTTACAAAACAAAGAAGACGGAAAAAAAGCACATTCCTGGAATGACAATTGCTGAGCTAGGGAGTAGCTCTTGCAATCTGATTGTCAGATCTCTACTCTTGTGTAAATTCTCCCCACTGGCTACCCACCTTCTTATAGGAGAAGGCAAACAGCCTTTAGAGAGGACAGTTCTTTTGCAATTTGTTATCTTTCTAAGAACCTCCACTATAGGCACTGCTAACCTTTGACAAGTGTAGCACTGAACTGCTTAGATTAGCATTTTCTGGCTACACCATGGTTATTGCAGACAGAATTTCCTAGCTTTCTCTTATGCCAACCTTAAATGTCCCCTGTCCCCCATATCTGGTCTTGATTTACTTTAGGTGACATCTATCTCCTTCCAGGTGGCTGCATCTCACTGGAGTCTCATCTTTTTTTTTTTTTTTTTTTTTTTTTTTTTTTTTTTTTTTTTTTTTAAAAAAAAGCCTTTCTGGCATTGTTTGGCTGAAAATGAAGAAGTACAAATTTAGAAGTAAAGGCAGCATTTTGGAAGGCAGCCTTCCTTCTGGGTGTGAGCAAGACAATGGATTCCTGGTCTCCCTCTCTCCTGATTTCTTCAAAATGTCTTTTCAATTTTCCATCTCTCCTTTAAAACTTAAAATATAATTATACCATTTCCCCCTCCCCTTTCCTCCCATACCCTGTGTACCATCTTTCAATTTCATGTCCTCTTTTTTTCTTTGATTATTCTTGCTATGGATAAACATATACACAAATATATCGATACAACCTGCTGAGTCCGTTTAGTGTTGCTTTGGGTGTATGTGATTTCAGGTCTGACCATTTGGTGCTGTCCTCATCTTAAGCTAACACTACTGGCAAGGAGAATACATTGCAATTTTCAGTTTAATTATCTGCTTCTTCTACTAGGTGGTAAACATCTTCCAACTGTGTTCCTGGCACACAACAGTTACTAATTAATTATTTTTATAGGGACTGAACTCCACTAAAGCTCTTTTAAACTACTAGAGGCAGGCAAGTGAAAGGCATGCAGCCCTTTGGCCAGTTTGGCTGTGGGGGTGTAGAGGTTAGAATAAGGGGCAGGCCAGCTGCCCACTCAAAATACAAATACTCAAACCCACCCAAGCCAAAGGCCCTGAGACACTGACCCATCAACAAGCAAGTTCTTGACATTAAGTGGGTAATTAAGGGGGACAGAATCCTTAGACCAATCTTTATAATAAAGTCTCTTAAGCCCTTAACAAAGGCTGGGTGCCATTCAGATGGTAATGAGCTGCCAGCATTCAGGCCTTTGATATTTCTGGCTGCTGATCAGTCCCTTTCAAGAGTTTAAATGCCTCTGCAATTAACCTTTATTCTTTAGTGACAGAATTTATTCAGTTATTAAAATAGAAAAGAATCCCCATGCTGCCACCAAGTGATCTGGAATGGCTAAACCACTACGGACTAGGCAAGAACCTTCATCTCCTTTTGTGAGTCTTGAAGGGACCTGAGGTTTGTTCAATACCACAGCAGTTTGCTGAATATTCACAACTGCAAAACGAGGGGCATTTTATTCTGAGGCCTGAGCTGAAGCACCCAGGGTAAAGTGGTCAGTAATGTCAGTTTGGAAAGGCAGGTGATGCAAACCTGAATTTGTTGGTGTTCAAGTGTAAGCATATTCCACTGCATCTCACTGCCTGCTTCTGTAAATTCCTCTTGGGAAACAGCAGCTTCTATGGGAGGGTTTCAAGCTGAACTTCTATTTCTCTGAAGGAGCTTCCTACTCTCCCTACTATATTCACCTTCCACGGTCTTCCAGTGAAACCTGGGGAGATTTCTTTCCAAGTGCTATCCCTCCTCTTATGACACACTTTGTTTTTGGCCCAAGGGATGGATCCTAGAGCTTCATCCACACTAGGCAAGGTCTCTATCATTGAGCTACACCCGAGCTATATACAGTTTTCCATGGAGAACCTTTTTTAAATGCACACATTTTTGTTTTATCTCATTTAAAAAGATTTTATTCGTTGAGAATGTCATACAATGTATTTTGATTATATTTATCCCCCACTAGTAGTCCCCCCAACTTTTCCATACCCCCACTATATGTCCTCTTTTTTACTTTTAAATTTAATAACCCATTTGACTCCCATACTTCTGGGTGTGGGGCCATCCACTGGAGTGAGTAGTCTTACCAGGAGTCACAACTTTAAAGAAAACAGATTCTCCCTCCTCTAGAAGCAATCAACTGTCCATAGCACCAAAGGTGTGCATGTGTGTGTATAGGGGGGGGGGGTTCTAATGAACTCCTTGCCCCTCCATGATAGAATGCTGGCATCCTTGATCTTGTACAGTCATCCACAGCTGCTGTAATTTCATGAGTGCAACAATTCTGACATGTTTCATCACTCATTTGCTCTGTTCTTCCCCAACCTCTGGATCTTATCATCCTTCTGCTATTGTCCCTGAACCTTGAGAAGGTGGTGACATAGATGTGCCATATGTGGCTGAACACTCCACAGGCACTTATTCTCTGCACTTTGACTAGTTATAAATTCCTGCCTTAACCACCACCCAGCAGCTAAAAAGAGTGAGGACAGCTGATCACCATGGCCTAGGGCTATATAATCCTAGGCACTTGGGAAGTTGGGGTGAGAGGATCATTTGAGCTCAAGAGTTTGAAGCCAGCCTGAGAAATGTAACAAGATCTTATATACAGAAATAATGAATGATGTTCAAAATGACAGATGAAAAAAGTAATAGAAAGAGCAATGATACACTGAGAAGTACAATTTATGTACAAAAGTACAAAATATATAGAAATATATATATATATATATATATATATATATATATATATATATATGGCCTGGCTAATCTCACTGCATGATTTTTTTTATTTTCAAGTTGTTTACAATAAATTTAATTTTAAAAATAGAAGTATAAGCCACAGATCAAATTGTAGATTAATAAGAAGAGTGAACCCCCAACTACATGGTAAACAGCAAATTATGTAGTTTACAGTACTATTTCTATCTAATCCATAAGGACTAGAACAAATGGATACAACTTCAGCATCAAAAGTAAAAATAAGATGTTTAGCTAAATCAACATAACTTTATTTATACTTATATCGATAGACAAATACTACTCTTAGCCTTAAGCAGAGAAGCCTTTCTTTTCAGGGAATGTGCATGAATGCAGAGACCTATGACCACAAGATATGCTGAGAAGAAATGACTGTTACAGGCTGAGCCTTAAACAAAACATCAATACCATCCTGCTAAGGCTCAAGGACTATTGTGGAAGAGGAACGACTGGAAGAGTCAGAAGACAGGGAAAGGGGCTGTGAAATGCTATCTTCTGGGCAAGAAATAACTATTGCAATCACAAACACATAACAACCGGGGACATCTGTCTGCATGGGGTCTGCTCAAGAATAAGGCTGTCACTGTCAGATAAAAAGGGAGAAGGGGCTCAAGGGGCCCTATCTGTCATTGATCAACTATTTGCTACTGACAGATTTAGGGAGAGGGGGAGTCATTGTCAACAGTTGTGTACCCACTAGTGACCCCACCAAGCTCCAATAGAGAGTCCCAGTGTAATGGTTACACAGATAGCCCTTTTTAACTAAGTAGGCCATAGAGCAAACCCAAAAGTCATCAATTTGGGAAAGGGACTGGCATGTGGAGTGGATGGAGGAAGATGACAGGCATAAGAGACAAAAGACTGTCCAGAGAGCAGTACAAACATGTATGAAAATGTCAAAGAACTTAATGCAAGATTAAAACAAAAGAATAAGATTTGAGGAGGTTATACTCTCCACTGTAGAAGATAATAACTCTCTTTGATGGTTTAGATTTGAAGAAATAAATTAAAATGCTTTGAGGACCAAAGAGGTCATATAAATAGGGTGTATTGGCCTGGAACATGTGGCTGATCCCTTTAGACAAGCACACATTCTCTAAATGACTATGGTACCATTCAATGTTATTTCTTGCTTTATGAAATGACTTTCATCATCTCTAATCTAATCATTACAGAAGAGGGGATGAAAAGGGGGGAAGGGCCAGAGGTAATAGATAACTACAAGGGAAAAACATCCTCCTGACAAAGCAGGGCAGCTGCACATATGAATTCACAATGGTTGTGACGTCACACACAAGATCTGGATATACCAAATTCCAACATGGAGAAGGGAGTTGGGTATGAAACCCCACTCGTCAATGAGGAGCTGTTCACAAATGTCAGTTGCTAGGAGATGAAGGATCAGTCTTTCCTAAGAGTATAGGCCCAAATAATTTGACCGTATTCCAGAGGAAGGCCGCACATCTACAAATATTTGGGAAGCAAAAAAGTGGACTTGATGTGTAAAAAGACACAAAATTGGGTGTGTACCGAATGAGAGGTAGATCTGGGAAGAATTGCAGGGGAGGGCGAATATGATCAAAACACACTG